AGCAGTGTAGCAGTGTAGCAGTGTAGCAGTGTAGCAGTGTAGCAGTGTAGCAGTGTAGCAGGGTTGCTACACTGCTACACCACTGCTAGAGTGCAAACAATTAATCTGTGAAACACTAATTACTAAATAGTACAAAATAGTGCTAATTGAACAATAGAAAACAATGGAATTTGCATAAAATTGTGCTATTTAGTATTACTAAAGTTTCATGGATTTACTGTGGTCACTCTACTTGACTACACTGCTTAACGACATCATAGTCCCTATGATCAGAACACCCCTCCCCCCCAATAAAAACATATTTCATGACGGTTATCATGGGCATATTACCAGGAGACAAAAGATGCTACCATATTCAAGGGAAAGTAGACAAAAGGGAAGTAATGTGTTCTGAAATGGGAGTTTTCAAGAATTACTTGGAAACAAATTTTATTATTAAGGGGAGAGTAGACAAAACAAATAATACTCAAGGAAATAAAATGGGTTCTGAAATGGGAGTTTCCAACATTTACTGGCAGACAAAAGATGTTAATACTGAAGGAAAAGTAAAAAAAAAGAAATAATATCAAGGGAATAACATGTGTTCCGAAATGGGAATTCCAAAGAATTACTAGGAGATGAAAAATGTTAATACTTGAGCAAAAGTAAAGAAAGAAATAATACTCAAGGGAAAACATTTTCTGAAATGGGAGATTTCAAGAATTACAGGGAGACAAAAAAAAGGTCTGTACAAAAATGCATACTAAGTAATTTATTTACCTTGAAGTCAAGAAACAGAGTCTCAGCCCAGCAGAGGAAGAGTGAGACAATGATACTAACATAATCCATTGGATGATGATTGTTTGTTTTAAACTACAATGCAAGCAAAATATGTTGTTTATTAGAAAGAGAAATAGGGGCTAGGGACTTATTAGTTTGTTTGCTCCAAACAGGGCAATGGTGCATCCAGGGATGTGGATTGTATGGCTAGTCACCCCCTTTGGACTTTTGAAAATAATCAGAATACAGGAAATGTCAAATTGAAAAAGGAGGCTTTTCAGGGTATTTTTGTACAGCCTGTTTCATGTTTCTGCCACCTAAACGGGTTCAGACTTCTAGCATTTCAGCTTCTGTCAATCAAGTTTATGTAAATATTTCAAAAAAGGTTGGTGAAGGTTTTGTTGCACACTGCACCTTGCTTGTTTCTTACTAAGCTTGAAATGTATTAAGTTCATGAATATGTAAATAATGATAACACAGAAGAAAATATACCCGAAAAACGTGCAGACAAGGTTTAGGGAAATTCCATATCGTTGTGACCTTTCATTGATGGTATTAACAACCCCCATAGAACTCACAAGAGCATTTTCCACGGATGACATCACAATTGTGCATTATGGGAGTGAAATGCGGACAAGCCAAGTCAAGTCAACTTGCTAATATGCTGTCTTGTTGTTTTCAATTGGTGGAAAAACTATGGTTTCTTTGATCTTCTTTTCCTTGTAACCAAAGCCTATGTTTACAAAGTTTGTCCGCAAATCCATCCCACAAGGCTTTGCAATATCTATTTTAACTAACCATGAAAAATGCTATTTGGGCAACATGCAACCTGTGACAAAACCTTTACCAACTTTTTCTGAAATAGCTGTGTATATAGTGTAGTAAAATGGTGCTCAAACTCACATTGTATTCAACAACTTTAGCAATAATGAATCCAGTGCTTATAGAAGTAGTTATCTGAGAGAAAGATTTCATTGGAAGTCAGATGGTAAGAAATAAATAATAGTAATAAATGCTTCTACTAGTTCAACAGAAACAAGGATGGATCCAGGCAGGTGGATTGTATAGCTAGCAACCATCCATTGAATTTGAAAGCATTTTTGATAATAATAAAGTATAAAGACACTACATAATGCCTTTGTGGTCAAAAGCCAACCCTTTGAAACAATAATTGTGAATCTGCCCGTTGCTGAGCACTGTCATTTTCAAGACTAATATTTTTAAAAAGCAATCCCAAAAACAATATATGCATGGTGTCGGCCAACAGCACACCATATAACCTATACTCACATAAGGTAAAGGTAAAGGGTCTACACTTGGGTTGCACCCTTTTTAACTATTATCAGTCTTAAAGACAAGTTGCTGGGGAATTGCACAGTGTAACAGGGGTGGTCTCACACAATTTTGTCATCGTGTTTTGTTGTCGTTGTGGGTAGCATTGCATGAAGTAGAACTCAGTTGTGTACATTGTGCACATTGTATCACCTCTCCAGCAACTTTTTCTCCCAATTTTAAGCTCATTTTTCAAGAATGCATTTCTCATTTCTTTCTGAGATGCCAAAAATAGGGCAAGTATATGAGGTTGCGTTGCAGTGTAACACTTCACCTGGGCAACTTGCAACGCTTACATTTTAAAGCATTTTGACATAACCCTTTGTGTATCATGAATTGATATAATACTTACTGCTATAGCATACCACTTTCTACTATGGAACAAGGCATAAACAAGAAGTAACACTACCATCCTCCATAATGATAACAGCTGAAAGGCACAATATTTATGTGCATTATATATTTACTCCTGGCTATTATTATACTATATGTAGCATATGGTTACGTTATCAGTAAACTAACATCATTCACAAGCAAGTATGGTCCCAAGAAGAAGGGGGGGGGGGGGTGGGAAACGGTGAAACAGGAATGGATAGAGAAAAGGAAAAAGAGGCAGAACTAAAGAAATGCTGTGGATAAACATTTCCCAAGTCCTTTAATATATTCTGTTACTCCTTCATCTAATTTCCCTTTCACTTCATTCTTGTCATTTCGGAAGCTCTCTTTATCAGCACTGGTGCTGTAGCAGTCAGACCTAAATGAATCTTAGGACTAATTCCTGTTAGGAAGTAGCACAGATTTTTTTTTCATGTCTTCTTTGCATTCATACTATTTAAGGATGTTTGCGGGCATTGTGTGTGCTAATTCTTTCTATGCATGTGTTCAGTGTGAGTGCTCATCAGGATGATGTCATTCCAATGTTTTTGTGGGGAAAAATATCAAGAAAACCCATTTCTCACTTCTTTACAGCAAAATATCTCAGAAACCAATTTGGTGTACCCCCATTTTTCGTTGTCTTAAAATCAAGATACTACCAAAATCTACAAAATATGTAGATCCAAAAAATTCTGATTGCAATGGAATGATCATTGACACCAAATTTAGGGGGAAAATCCACCTGTTAACGAATTTGAATTTTACACATTTTGACTGCATTGCAAAGATTGAAAGTTTCATTAATTCTTATCACTAACTCTTACTTTCATACTTTTAATTCAGAAATGTTAAAGGAAGTCAAACTTGATGACCATGAATTTGTTTTCTGCATTTCTTTGATTTTTTCACTTCTTCTCAAAGCATTTCTTTGGTCCCTTAGGTTACTTGTAGGTTACGAATTTGGTGACCCCCATTTTTTATTTCATTTTTTTAACAATAATATTTCAGGGTATGTTTGTGCCAAGTTTCAAAAAATTCTGATTGCAACTTCATTTCCCTGGGAACGTCCTTAATTACTTTCAGTATGGTGCACTAACATGAGCTTCACTCTACATGCACTACCACTAAATTCACTGTTTGTAACACACACTAGATACTTGACTCACAACTAGAGAACCTGGAAAAAAAACCTTGTGGCAAGCTAAGGGAGAGAACAACATATCGTACAATTTCAACTCGCAAAGGTTCAGTTGAGAATCAAACTAAGTCTTGCAAGTCCTGCAAGTCCTGCAGCCCAAGGTATGAAATACACAGTACAAAGTCAAACAGTGCCATAGCACCACATGCTATAATCATATATATCAACATAAATCATTTCCAATGTCTTTATTGAGACAACTAATTCATAATTCATAATAATATGTATAAATACATGATTATGAAGTGAAAAAGAAAATTGGCCACAAATTATTAAGAGATTGGTCAAGGGAACAGAAAGTACAAGCAAGTGAGAAAGAATGAGAAAATGGGGAGAAATGAAAGCAATGGAAAAAGAAAAGGTACAACCAGGAAATTCAGAAAGGTGGGGTACAGCAAATCTTGACAATATCAATTTTTAGGCTATAATAATTCACTTACCACAATATCAAACAGAGAAGACGCAATTTTGTAATGTGCGACTTCCTTTTCTAGTGAGAGGTTTAATCCATTAAAAGCCTTGATCAACAAAAAAAAAAAAAAAAAAAAAAATAATATAAAAAAAAAAAAAAAATACAAAACAAAAAAATGACTTGATAAAAAAAAAAAAAAAAAAAAAAAACACACAACTGAGCTAAACAGAATAAATAGATATTTTCATAAAAGTAGCTGTTTCTCACACGTCTTAAGAGAATTATTTTCGTGCTCTTCCATAAGGAAAACGATGTTGTGCAGTGCTGACACCAACAAAAAGTATTTTTTGTGTGAATATGCTGAAGGAATTGTCGCAAAACATATGCAAGATCAAATTGTGGTTTGTTGGCAATGCTTAAGTTCAAGAGTTGAGTAGGGAAAATAGGAGATACGAAAAAAAAGATTCTACCCCCCCTCCCAATCGCAAACCCTTCCCCACACTGATGGGCTTTGCTGTCCCCGATGATATCTTTCTACCAGCCATCTAAAGAGAAAATTATTTAGTGCGATTAGATGATGGCTAATTTATAATCATCAAAATTCTAGTAAGCTTAATTCTCATAAAGTTCTAAAATTCTTATAGAATCATGAAAATGTTACATAAGCTGAAATAATTAATATGCAAGACTTGTAATTGTAATCGGGTTTCCGTTTACGTTACACAGTTTTCCAGAGTTTTCGGAAATGCATTGTAAAGAAAAAAGACTTGTCCAGCTAGGCTTTAAATTGTACTCACATTTGCATATATCAACCAAGCTACCAGTATAAAAAAGAAGTCAAATACTGTAAGCAGGCAGAACATTCTTCTAGAAGGTGAAAACTGACGAAAAGTCGTAGTCGAATCTGTGCGGCTACCGCTCGAGTAGGACCGTCTGCTAATACCGTTAGGAAGGCGGTCCATAACGATGTTATTTGTACCGTTATATCTTTTAAAAACGAAGTCCTTGCTTACTGTGATAGCATGAGGATATAAAATGTCCGCATGGTAGAGTTTTTCTTCTTTCGTTTTCTTCTTTCTGCTTAGAAATCCTCAATCGTTCGGTTTTTCCTTATTACTTTCTTCCCTGCTCTAATGGCATCACGCGAAAAACAACACAGGGTACCCAAAGGAGTAACCCTAGAAATACACAGGAAACCTAATTAAGATATCAAATCTTTTTTACCAAATTATCTGTCATCTTAGAAGAAACGTTATATAATAAAAAATCTCATTATATCTCTATTCTATTATTTTAGAAACAAAATACCTTAAGAGATTTTATGGAAAGTGTGGCAAGATGAAAAGATCAAAACATTGGGCTTCCTGTGTGACTGACCATAAAAATCGCGGTTGCCTAATTTTCGTGATAATAACACCAAGGCGAACTGTTGGCGCTCATTTTGAAAAAAAACTTGGAAAGGAAAACATTCTTTTTCTTGCGAAATTAATTCTTATTATTCAGCTTGGCGAGTATTGCATCGAAAAATAAATGATGATGGAACAGATAGGGGATTTGCAAAGGTAGAGTTTATTCAAAAATTATTGTAAGACTTTGTTTTCTGTTGTGTTTATGTCAGGTTCGACATCAACGGATCAAAATAGAGCTGTCAAATTCATGATCACTATTTCAGCTAAATATTTTTGTTTGTTTTTGTTTGTTTTTAGGGTCGTGGAAGATATAAAGAAGCAGTCTAAGTTAAAATCTCATGATTTGATCGATTCAAACGACTATGAGGGAAATTATGAAATTAGGCTACAAAACTCGGAGGTGAGAACGAAAAAAATACAAAGAAAAAATACATAAATTTGGCTGTTAACTTAGTCATTAACTTAACCTTAAACTTAGTCTTGGTTAAATTAAACTTTAAAAGGTTATATCGAAAATAATTTTATGAGACTTAGAAGCATCGAGTGACCGAGGGGTTTGTAGTCATGCAAGATTAGCTAACAGTCCTTTTTTTGACCCCATATTATTTAGAGTCATTTATCAGATCTGAAAATCAAATGTACCAGGATGGAAACAAAATCGTTGTTTCTTGAATACCTCGCCAAGGATTCCAAAGACTGGCCTTTGATAGAAGAAGTTGAAGGTATGCTTACTAAGTGAGGCCAGGTAGAGGCTGTTTACCTGCCAAGTGGAGAAACCTTGTCTCTGGTAGCAGGAAGACCAGACCCTCCTACCCGAGCCAACTATACTGAGTGTTTATATGGAAAGAAATTGTTCCTATAAATCCAGGAATACTATCGGTTTTAATGGAGATCTATACGCATGCTCCAACGAAAAACTTGTCTCAGCAAATTAAATGGGGAAAAGTTGTCGCAGATCCCAGGGTCACCCTCTTTCACGAAGAGGGTAACCCTACGTGTAGGGTGACCATTCTAGCCAAGGCAAAGTAAAACATCATGTAAACAAAGAAATTAGAGAAAAGTTAGCAAGCCCAGGGTAGCTTGGGGAAGAGGGTATCCCTTCTACTCGGGACAACTGTTCCCCATGTAAACAGCACCTTAGCCATTGAAAAATAAAGAATTCAAACAGGCATCCAATACAATTTTCCAAATTTAGAACTCTTGGTAATTTTCTCATGCTAATGTCTTCTTGTATGCCTCCTCACACAGATGCACAAGCAGTGCTCTGGGCGACTTTATTTGCCTGTGATAATAACTTGACATCTCTAACACATGTTTATATCAGGGCTATGTATTAACAGCTGCTCACAGGGGCGGATCGAGGAATTTGGTTAGGGGGTGTCCCAAATGAAGAAATGTATATAGAGACATTATGCATGGTAAATGTTTCTTTTGCCTCAAAAAAGCTAAGAGTAATTACAGTACGGTGTTAGGGGGGTTACTGGTGCACCACAACATAACCCCCCAGATTCCCTCCCTGGCTCAATGGCCAGGCAAAATGACAATGTGAACAGTCAAGAGGACTACTCCTGAGAGGCATTTGGTTAGAAAATTGTTAGAAAATATTGACTGTAGTGCATAATGTGTTGAATGTCTTTTGTGTGTTTAGAGGAAATTGAAAGTCTCAAGGCTGAAAGAAAACAGGACAAAATTGCCATAGAGGAAGTGGAAAACAATATGGAAGAGTTAGCAGAAGAGCTTCAGACAAGTAATGTTTATTACTAACATAGATTGCTTTTGCTTGCGAAATCAATTTGGCAAAAAAATTCATGTAATAATTTAGATTTTTACTTACTTCATATTTACTTGATTTAATTTGTTCTTTCTTTCTTTCTTTCTTCCTTCCTTTCCTTTTTTCCATTTTCATCTTAAAGAAAATGATGAACTAAAGAAAGCAATATTATCATTGGAGGCCAAACTTGCCAACATCAAAGAAAAGGTATGAAATGTAGAGAAAAAATAAATAAATAAACGACTAAATGAACGAACAAACAAACAAAAGACGTACAAAGAAATATATTTACTGAAAAGGACTTTTCTTCAGAAAAAACAATATGAAGATTTGAAGGAAAAGTCTGAAAAATCTTTGCAAAGAATAAAAGACAGGGTAAGTTTTTCGAAATTGATATTTTGAGATCTGATTAATGTGTCTGCAGCCTTGACAACTTCTGAAAACATGGCCACTGTTTGGCTTCAGTTTTAATTTACCTGTAGAGATAACAAACTCTAACATTCATCTCTTGAACGTTTTAAGGGATCTTTACGCCAAAACTTGAAAGAAATCGAGGAGAAACACGTAAGAATTGAGTTCTGTAATCATTTCATTATCTCAAAGTTATCTTGAATGCTCGACTAACAGGAAAATACAATGAAAAATGGTATCAAGAAAAAGTTTGAAAAGCGAGAACCAGTTTCTTTTGTATTTTCATGTTAGTTGCGCATCAAGCCAATTTTTAAAGTTGCAATAACTGTTCCATTTTGAAAACTTTTATATATGAGTATATTATATTTCCTGAAACTCTTGATGCGAGTTACCAACACTAGTTTGATAATGGTTTGTTTGGTGCTATGGTTTAGTTGCAGGCAGATTTTGCAATCACGCAGTGCACTACTGCCATTTCAAGCTTAGAACACTACATCGAAATGATGCGTACAGACCTTGGCGAGCTACAAAGTCATGTCAGTGAACTCAAAAAAGACTTACATGTTGCTGAGGAGCAAAAGAGGAAAACAGACGAACAAATGATAGAGGAAACACAGTGGTAAGTCCTAGGAATGGCATGCTTAAATTCTCTTGCAATTTAAGTGCTTAAGCGAGCAGTGGAATCAAGTTTATCGAATTTTACTTTTCGCAAGGATTGCAGCAACAATTTCAAGACATTACCTGTGCGATCTTCTGCAATTTGTCTCATTCATTGTTTAGCAGCCAATAAGATTCCATGTCTCGTACACTGGCCACTTCCCCAGACCTTTGCAGTCGTATGCGTGTACACTGATCTCCTGACACTGCAGCTACAATAAACGTGTAATAGAATTTACAATTCATAGTAAACTACGTACCTAACTTAACACCCCCTACTATCAATGAAATTGCAATTAGTTTTCATGGAAACTTGCCTTGTGTAACATCCTGTGTTGCACTTCTTCTTCCGATAATTGAAGTTTCCAAAGGAAAGGGCTTTTCCTAGTGCATTTGTTCATAGTCTGCATTTTTCTCTAGGTTAACTGGTGCTATCAAGATGCTTGAGCATCTCGGAGGATTATCGATTAAAGAAGTCAACGATGATTCAGTAATGCTTGAAATATTCAACAGTAAACCAGGGGATGATAACAAGCAGCGTGCCTCTTTGTTGCTTACACTGAGTTTTAGACTTAGTGCTACTAAACCACGCCTCTGTGGGGCTGAGGTGAGTGACCGATCCCATGGGATTGTTTTATAGACCCCTTGCATGTGACTTAGTCAAAGCAGCTCAATTTGGAGGACAACATAAAAGAATCTGCTTGAACTAGACGCCCAACAGATCAGACGCATGGACATGGTTCTCCAGACACGAGCACCAAGAGGATACTAGTTGTCCACAAGGGGGATGATGATGATGAAATTGAGCTGCATTCCGACGTGCTGCTTGGGGTCTATTGCTTAGTAATCTTTAAGGCTTTTGCATGGGATAGACAGAATCTAATAAGTGCAGCCACTAGTGCAGCCGAAACGTGACACCAAAACAATGGACAAGGAACAATACCATGAGTCCCGCAATGGTAACGCCCACAACAGAATGGTATCACCCCACACCCCACCACACCCCACACCCCACAGCAGGGTTTTGTTCTTAGAATTGCTTACAAAAGAATGGAGGACAATGAGCCAAAACTAATAAATCTATTTTTTGATACAGGTGAATTTGGAGACTTTTTCAATCGTTGACTTAGTGCCCGCAGCCGTCGAGACAGGGGATTTGGTTGCATTGGTACACCAGGTGAAAAAACGCTTCAACGATTACAATGCTCTACGAGAAGAAATGGAAGAGCTGCAGAAAAAGTGAGTGTTGCTGAATCTGAATCCAGCGCAATCCCAAAAACCCTGTCATAAAAGCGCATCAAAAAATAGCGAATTTAATTGACAAACACCACTAGTATACGTACTTTCATTATTTATAGTATAGTTAAGTCTTTGCACACATGGGAACTGCTTTGCGAAACGTAAGCGTTGATGACAGCAGAGTCCTTAAGAGCAAAAAAAATTTTCGACAAAGCAATGAATTAAAGTGGGAACGCTATTCACAGAAATGTAGCGAGCGAAAAATGCATTTTATTAGCTGGAAAAGACACGTTATTACACAGCGACCTTTCTAGTTAAGACTTCATGAAGTGGCACTATTCCGTAACAAAGTTTAAGTTTAGGGTCTGTGTTGGGTTTTGGTTAGGGTTTGAGGACATTAAAAGTAATAATCAATAATTAACGATCAAATAGTGCTACTTCATAAAGTCTTGCATGAAGTACTCATCAATTGAAGGGCAACAAAAGAAATATATGGCTAATGCAAGAAATAAATTTGCCTTAAAATTTAAAGTGTGGCCTATAATAAATGAATGCGTATTTCTATAGTATGTTATGACAATCTTCGCTTCTACCTGACGATGACTGTTGTTTTACTCTTTAGAGGCTTAACCTCATGAGCCGACGAGTCTGACCTCCCGTAGGGGTCACGAATCTATCATTTAAATCCAGAACGTTCATAATTATTAATTATTATAAATTATTCATAATTATTAATTATTATTAACTATTAGGGCCCCTCTGGATACCAGCCTGGTTGATGAATGAGCCACCCTGCCTAAATAAAGTTAACCTTTACCTTGCTCAGCAACTGTCCCATTGTCCATTCCTACGACCCTTTCGATCCTTTAACCATCGATCACCTGTGGCGAACATGATAAATAATAATTCTATCACATATCGAGCTAGAATGAACAACTTTTTTAACTATCATAAAATTTTGCAGTGAAAAAAGATTCTGCAATTTCGAAGTCGTGTAGTGTTTAACTGCATAACTCGCACGAAGATATCGGAAAACCATAGCAATGTTATATCATACTTCACGCGCACACATTGCAGCCATGCAGGTACAGTTTATCGTTCATAGATAACCACTCATTGGGAAACTCTTATCTAATTACTTCCCATTTATACGAAAACCTCCCTACACAGAGATAACTCGCTACATTGCATTAGAACGATAGATAAATCAAGAGTTAAGTTCTGCTTACCTTCTCCATGTACGGTGTATGGACGACTCATGGCACAAATGGATGTAAACTCGTATCCGGAATAAATTATCATGCAACATGCACGATGGCATTACTATTAGAAAAAAACAATGAAAAGTGTCGAATGTAGCACAGTAGCCTTGAATCCCTTAGGACCCCATTTATATATGTGTATAGTGACACAACGACTAGGGCTCCGCCCTTTGTTCTCGATGTTCCCGGGGGGGGTCAGGCAGTTCCTAGCACCATGGTCACCTTACCTACCTTTAAACCGGCCCCTAAAAAGTAAACTTCTAAACTTGGCTTAAATAGACTAAAAGGATACCTACAAGCAAGATTACAGTCACACGGGTTCTCAGTCCACGCATCAAGCTTCCTTCCAAAAGGCGCTTAATTAACAATGAGCAATGGCGCTTGCAACTTGTCTTACTGTCTTGTATTAGGCATTATTTCTAGATTGCCAAAAGTTATGGAAAGTATAGACCTCGTTCAATTCAGGAGAAAAAAATGCGTATTGTAAAAGCGCACTTAAACACGACGGTTTCAACACATCGTGCCCTTACTAAATTCTTTCGAGTATTCTATTCCATGTGGGAGCTTCATGATCGATGATACGTGCGCATGATCACTGAATTCTTAATAATTTCGTTTCGTTTTTCCAGTTATGCCGTAGATTGGGAGCCAAGCCTAGGTCGCCTCCGCGTGATGGTTGGCAAGAGTGGTAACACGGTTTGTACGCTTGGAGTTGATTCATCATACCCAGCTACTGGAAGTATAACTCTTCTTGGAGTCGAGAGCAAGAAAGAGAACATCGAGAAAGATACTCTTATGGTAAGATATCTCATGTAGTGTCACTGTCACTATTAATGGGTTGCAAGCATTCCCAAGAGAGTTAAAGACAAAAATATGGCGGCCATTGTGGTAGTGTTAATGCTAATGAGAAATCTTTTGTTAAATGGTACCAACATGGCAGCAATGACGTAACGTGCAAACGAAGAATACTTCATGTATGATATCAGTGACTAAGGATATAACTGCGTTAAACATATTGGCGATGGTTATGACCATGACATTTATTCGACAATGATAAATAATGATAGTCGTGGTGGTTGTAATGACACTAGATTTTGATGATGATGATGATGATGATATTGATAACGTTTACACTTAGCTTGGACCCACTTTTTTTCGATGATAATATGACGTAGTAAATTTTTTCGATGATAATGTGACGTAGTAATTGATTATGATGATGACACTACGACTTTGAAGGTGGTGGTGATAACGTCTACTCTTACCTTTGACCCAATCCGGCTTTTTTGATGATAACGTATTGGGGGTCGTGATGATGACACTAGATTTTGATGACGTCGGTGATGACGACAGTTCTACATTTAGCTTTGACCCAGTCTTTTTTGATGGGGATGGTGGTGATGAGGATGACACAATCGTCAAGTCGATCTACTTTGGTGCTGCTGTCGGTTATGTGTGTGTCTCGAGGGGATGGGGGGAGTCTGTTACGAATGATACCTTATCAGCTAAAACCACTATTTAACAATTATTCGCCGAAGGCGAAGTGATTATCGGTGAATATTTACCGAGCCACGAGTCTACTCATCAGTCAGTGAGCCTGAGGGGAATAATTGTTTTACTATAATTGTAGACTTGAATATCAGAAAAAAGACAATCAAAAAACGTTTGGTATTACTTCGCTCTGGCAGCAGTAATCATTGTCTCAGAATCACCGGTCGCTCGACAATCACAGAGCGCGAAACTCTATGTTCGACAATATATTCACTATTAGTTATGTTGGTTGTAGTAATAAACTTATCTCTTGATTCAGCCTCCATCATCTTGCGTCTGCCTCAGCGAGTGGGTCAAGCATCTCCTTGGTATTTTCAGCTGTTAGCTAGCGTGCCGTAACCATGACAATATCTCCTCCAGGTGACATTAATTATCACATATATGTACAAATGAGTTTTTAATAGCCAGTACTCAATAGCTATCTTTAGTCCAAGGGTCAAATCAATTGGTTTTCTCATAGTCTAGTAATTACTCTTTAATTAAGGATAATCGCCTTAGCCAAATCCCTTGGTTTTTCATCAGAGAATTTTTAAATTGCTAGAAGCGGTCCCATTTTATTGCATTCAATAATTAATGAAAGTAAAAAGCTACGGGGAAGGGCACTTTACAGCCCCTTTCCAAGTCTGTTTTGATTGAAAACTCTTCTTCATTTGGGCATCCCAGATGATGAAATTTTACATGCTCCCAATTTTATTTTACTTGCATAACTTTAAGAGGGAGGAGATGGGGGGATGGAGAGTACGATTTTCTATTCACAAGGAAATGATTGGCATCCCAAAAATATATATATAATTTGATTCACAATCTCCACACAATAACCTTCAGTTAATTGTACTTTTATTAACAGAAATATTTCCAGTTATTTCTATATCTGGACTCGTTATTCTTTACATACAAGACAATACTCAAGGGTTGAGAAATAGAACTGTATGTACAATATCTGTGAAAGATTGTTCTCATTCAAATCACTCATTTATCGAATAAAATTAGTTTTATAACATTCTTTTCTATCCAAATTATTTGGATCAATTTCGTGGCTCTTGGGCTAATTTTATCTTTATAAAAATCATTTATTTGTATGTACATGCTAGGATAATGTATTGCTAAAACACTTAGCATCGAGTTGAATTTAATATCTATGTACAATATTATAGATGACATCCAGTATGGACTCATTAAACAGAACAATTGGTATATGTTTATATATCATTCACATTTTTTCTACCATTTCTGAGCAATGTTAGTAAACTCATAAAATACAGATTGATAAAAACCACCAATATTAGAAATTGAATATCAGCTTTCTGGGTTAATGAAATCAAAAGTGTGGAATTAGGATAGGATTTCCCATATATCCTGTAGTTGCATTGCTTTTATCTTCATTCAATGGAAGTCCAACTTCCATTCATTTTCTTATAAAAATAATTAACTGTTTTATAAATTGTGCTCTAGATTTTGGAAGCAGTTTGTCAACTAAATGTTTCAGTAGTCTGCTTTTGAGTTTTTTGAGTTAAACATAATTATGCAGATATATGTCAATAGAGCAACATGATGATCAACATGCCTTGCTTTTGTGCATCCAAAATATGCTGAAAATTTTGTGCTAGGGTCTCTCATTATCTCTCCCTCTCTATTTTTTACTTTGTTAAGTAAGATGTCAAGAAATTAAAGCATGCATAGTGGCTTTCTTCTCCCCAAAGTGCTGATACACAGGCTAAATTTATAGTTTAGTTTTGAAAAAAATGCTAGTCCTTAACAGAAGCAGAACTCCAAAAAAGTAGAGTTCTTTACCACAATTTTCATAAACATGTGAACTGTGTCGGCAAGCTGCACTTACCGAATGTTTGATTGACAGCAGCAAAAAAAAACAGCATGCAGCTCGCACGTTCATGAAAACTGCAGTAACAGCTTTTAATACAGTCATATAAGCCTATTTCTAGAATCAATGCAAAGGGATTTCTCTTAATGCATACAAAACTCCCAATAAAATTTTAGAGCCAAAGTAGCTCTTTGAGTTGGCTTTTTTTATCTTTACAAAACATATATATTTTATATAATATACAATATGAATAATAATGGACCTAGGATTGAACCTTGGGTTATATACTTCATTCTGTTTATAGAACAGTATATTTGGGAAGACCATATTTCGTTATATTAATTTTAGATTTTCTTTCATAAAAATACTTTCTTTTGGCTCTAGCAACTAATTTATAATAATTACCTCTTTTACCACTACTGCTAACTCCTTAAAGACCATTTAAGGATTATAATCGTTTGTAGCAAGCAGATAATTAAGTGTGGTATATGGAGATGATTTGTGCTAGAGGCTTGTGTTTGCCGCAGAGATAATGATGGAGTTTGGGTGTCGGCAGCTTTCAAGGTTGAAAGAATAACATGGGAAGTGAATGATGGACTTCCAGTATTTATGAGTGCTTCTATTCTTTGTGCTTCAAGACTGCAAGCCTCAATCTAAATAGAACAAGTAAACACATTATTATCAACAGAATACCAGTGACATGTTACATAATGGTATGCAAAGAGAAAATGGTATGCACAGACAAAATACCAGTAACACATTATATAATGCTATGCGGAGACCCTTTTCCTACACACCTGGGGGCAATTAAGAATTTTAAATATTTTTCTCTATTCAATTATTCAATTTAGAATTTACAGGTAAATCAGCTTGCATATCTGTCCTCCAGACAACCTGCTTATGTGAATAATCATCATGTACACTACAACTTTCTAAGCCTAACATATAAGGTATCACGTCCAACCCACTTTCTGCCATAATTTTCAAAGGATGAATAATCATTGCCTTATAAAATTACTTTTCTTTCGTTTGTGCTTAAAAGCCCTTGGTAATCCTGATACGAAACCCCTGATACACCTATTAGGATGATCCAATACTTTCTAATCAAAATTGAAAATAATTGATAAGAACTCCTCTTCGTTCCATACCTGTAATACTGTGGGTTTATTAGTGATTGCCTTGATTAATATAACAAGATCCCCTTCTATGCTTTGATATCCAAACAAGTCACACTCAGTCTAAGACAAAAAAAAAAAAAAAAAAGAAAGACAGTGAGTATATTAATTGACAGAGCAAGTTTTGATGTAATGTTTTCCCATTTCATTTCACTCTCTATTTGTTTCATTTCCTTGAAAATATTTTTTTCATTTACCAATAAAAACCACTGTCTACTCATGTTTACTGGTCAAACACAAAGCATTAAGTCAAGGCCAAATCCTTTGAAACTACCTTGCAGCATTGATTGAATGGTTTGTGTGAATAGTGAACAGATATATACAAAGTGATGAATGCTAGTAAATATATTATTGCCCATTTTCATAAACATGCGAACTCAGTAGCTGCGAGCTATTTTTGACTTGAGGCAGCAAAAAAATACTACAGAGTTTGCATGTTTATAAAAATGGAAGTAACATGAATTACACTCAAACATTTTATTCCCACGAGGTTTGAAGTGGAAAACCTTTTGCTCACACTGACCCTATCAAGACCACAATAGGATAAATACGACCCCACTATATTATTTTTGATCAGTTTTTTAAACTAACGAGGAACATCTTTAATGGTGACTTCTTTTTGGTGCTATATTCTTTAGACTAAAGTTTAATTCATGGGTTAAAGCTTACTAGGTCATTATGTTGCAATGGCCATTATATTTGTTCACTTTGAAAGTCTCTTTGTCAGGCATATTTTTGTTGGGCATAACAAATCTAAGTAAGATGATGCCTAACCACAACTCAATTGCTGTACCTACCGTGGTGACATGCCGTCTGAGTGCCACAAGTAGATGCTCTAGAGTTATGGGTTTATAATGATCTTGTAATCCTTCACTGTTTATACTTAGCTGCGTCAAGCTGACCAAGATTCTTATTTGAGCAGCTGTTACGAGAAAGCCACACAATCAATGAAATAGTCACATCAAGATAGTACTCAGACATATGGCACTTACAGGGCCGCATTGTTTGATTTAAGCTAATCTAGGATTAGGCCTAAACCAAGATTAAATTCTCAAAACATGCATTACTGTTGTTCAAAGCTAGATTAGTGGGTGGATTAACCAAACCCCCTTCTACTTTATCTTTTTTACTTTGGAAATTGCACTCTCAACTGAAAGAGTTGAGGAACTGAGAATTTGTAGGTTTTGCAAATTCAATAGCATGATTTTGTCTTGTCTTTCGCTATAGATTTTAAACCAGATTTTTTTTTGAAATAATGGATTTACTTCTGAATTAGTATCGCACACAAGTTTTCTGTCAATGTATTCCTGAATGGAAGTGTTCTTAAACCTATATCTATGCAAAAAAATTGAACAGACCCACCATTTTGTTTCAATTTTGTCTATTTTAATCCTAGATGAACAACTTAAAACCATCTCGCTAACCCATGCTTTAATCCTATGTGCTTTGAACAATGCAATCTATTCCCAGATTAAAATTCAAACCTAGTTTAGGTTATTTGGTGCATCATTCTTAACATTTATATGGATTTTTATCTTATTATATATGGCAAACATAGCATCAGAATATTAAAGCATAGCATGAAGTAAGTTTAATGAACTTCATGTAGCCTCTATTATTGGCTGTAACAACATGGCTTGTGCTTTTAGTATTTGAATAACATGATACTCACCACAATGAGGACAGCATGCCCCTGGTGGGTGGATCCCAACACAGTTGGCTGGCACTAATGGTGGACACTTGACATCTTTACATCTGCCTTCACTGATTGATACTTGAAAACAGAAAACTAATGTGAGCAAAATACTAATTATTTATTTGGTCAATGAACACAAGTTAACTTTGTATAATTAAAGACAAGCCACTTTGCACCTGGCTGTACACCACCAAGAGTCTATTATTGACACTTTTTATGGTCTTAGTCTAGACTAATCTCTATACTCTATAGTCTATACTCTAGTCTTATTGTAGTTGATTTGAAAGTGTCCTTAATTCTGCACAAAAATTCTATTTTTAAAAAAAATTGTTTCCTGTAACTCTATAACATCAAAGAAGCAGAGTAGAATATCTTACCAACTTGATGACCAATAGCTCTGCAATGCCCCTCATAGTCTACTATAACTCTTGACGAGGTGGCTGCACATACACTACTGTAGGTTTCTCCATTGATGCCACATAGTGGTTTGGTAGGTTGGCTGCAGTATGGCTATATCATTCATAAAATACTCCATCATTACACTGACCAATACTCAAAGACATCTAAGAAAAATACACTTGGCACCTCACCTTGCAGAAACCTTTGTAAGCAAGTTGTTTGCCCTTGAAGTGAATAGAACAAAGGTTTGGGTGCTGTTGTCCTTCGTTGTCACAAACTGGCTCTAACTGCATGTCCTTACAATATGAACTTTCTTGAACTGTAACAAAATTAATTGTATGAGGTAAAATGTCAATAGCATTCGTAAAATCCATTGATAGGCCTCCTAGAAATTTGGCAAGGGGTTCTTTCTGCAGTTATGAAGGAATGAATACGCATTTACAAGGTGCCAGTAAACAATGCAACCTAGCAACTCTTTACCCTTCAGTATGTGTGTCCTCTACAGTCCTAAACAAACCGATCAACTTTGTTTATAGAGGATGACGCTAATTCAACTGCTAAACTTGTGGTCCTCTTAACATCTCTCGTTGAATGCGGACAGTTATTAATGTGTTCTACCAAGCCACATGAAGGTCTATCCATTTGCAGATGTAATTACGAAGACAGCAGCCTCTCAGTTTTTTTAAGGCCCTGAGTGTTGGTCTGGCAAAGGCTTGAACCAGGACCTCCCATACAACAGACCAAGGCTCTTAACGACTGAGCTAACTGGGTGGGGGTTAAAACAAGGTTGCTACAGGTAGCCTACTGTCATCAAGCAAGACGGTATCTTTTAATCACATTTTGTTGATAGAAAAGGGGTTAAGCAATTTTAACAATTGGCAAGCCTTAGGCCTTTCCCTTGTAGGTTCATTGTGTTTTATTGAACTTGACTAAGGTGTGGGTGTGTTACTTAATAATATAATCAAAACATGATACAAAAATATTAATTAAATACAGGGTAGCTTTTAAAAAAGATAAGCCATTATTCATTATTCACTATTCAAGTTTTGTACTTGCACCGATAACCAAAAGATAAGAGATGCATTATTTCATTATCACAGCCTTACCATGGGGTAAGCACATTGTTAGATGTTAGAGATAATGGCAAACTTACCACAAAAGTACTGATTACAAGAGTCTGTTGGTGTCAGACATGTCTTCCTGTCTATCAAACACCTATGAGGTTAAATCATAGACAACAATGAAATAGGTAGTCAAGTTGAAAGATCACATTTGATAAGTACAATTTAAAAGAGAAAGGGTCAATGAATCAATGAGTAAGGAATTCAGCTGTCTTGTTTTGGAATAGGCCTTTTGCAATAGATTGACACTTGATTGTTCCTGGACAGCAAAAAAATGTGGACTTCCTTTATTGAAAGATTTTTTTTCTGAATTACTAATGTTGTATCCAAAACCTTTTCAAAAATACTTCCCTTATGAGATACTTTTGATTTTAAGACACAAAGCAGTTTAAAGTTTGTTTGCCATCTAACAGATCCTTTCCCAAGGGACCTTGAGCTAAATCGATTTGTTATCAAAGTCATATATGAGCAAGTGACTGTTTGTTGCAGAAGGCCTATTGTGATGTTTATAATATTACTTTAAAGTGCATACCGTTGTCCCTTGGAACATGGGTTATTTTTGCATGGATCAAAGGATTCACAGCTTCCTGGTTGGGAATCTTTGAACCCAGCACATCTTAAAAGAAAATGAATTGCATTAAAAAAGAGTGATAAATATATTTATAATCTTGATAAGGAGTTCAAAAACTCAAAAAAATCAAGAACCAAAAAATGGAGAGAAGTCATAGAAAAGAATGAAAGGAAGGAGGGGGGAAAAGCTTTTATTTAATGTTTTTTTAGGGTTTTACCTTGCAATACATAGATTTGGGAATGTCTGTCCATTAGAAGCACACACTGGATTATGCTTTGAATCGCAACCACATGGCAATCCTGTAAACATAGGTGTTTGGTTTCTTTTTGGGCGACCTTCTGGGAAAGGGAAAGGCATGGGAAAATGTTTAGTCTTACTGTGATATTGTACTGAAAGAAAGACATTGAATAGTGATTCAATAAATGACTGCTCAATGGTAGATATGTTTGTTAACATGTATCATCTAGTTATAAAGTACACCCTAATCAACAGCCAACAAGATGTCAATAATATGACATTAATACAGTGGCATATCCAGAATAATTTCAAGGGGGGTGGCTGTTACTTAGAAAGGTATCACATAGTGTCTTTCTTAGGTCTTATTATGTTTCTTTAAAGGGATGTTGGTAAAGAGTTACCGAAATCACCCCCCTCCCCTGAATCCTCCTCATAATGTGGACCAAAACAAAGYGTTCCATATATGAAACCATTGACTTCCATATGAGACAAAAACTTGGTGTTCTATGGTTCTTACCAGTTTCTACATCTGGGATCTGTGATGGTGGCTCAAGGCACTGTCTTTTTGTACACATCAACTCTCCAGCAAAACAGGCACAGAAGTTACAGCCAACCATGAACCTCTCTCCATGTTCTTCTACACAGAGACAAACAGTTCTTTAGTAATCAAAGTCTTGTATTAACCATTACGCATGACAGTAAGAGATACAGTGGCCTATTGATAAGAGTGTTAAACTTGAAGCCTTGAGGACAACAAGTCATGCTTAGCCATGCACTTGCATTTTTCAAACAAATATCTTAACTTTCCTTGTCTCTCCAGTCATGAGAAAAATTAGTTGGGGTAAACTTGGCAAATCACTAACACTGCCACCTCATCCATGGCAATGAATAAATTAAATAAACGTTGTTTATAGAGAATGACAGTTGTAAGTAATTCAACTGATAAAGTCCTGGGCCAAATATATTTAGTTGATAAGGGACGAGAACTTGCTCAAGCTCAAGAAGTTGCCCTTATACACCACAAATCTACACCTATATTTCGCTGTCTTTGCCAAAGGCCGTATGCAATAGGCAATAGCCGAAAAAGCAAATGAGATAGGACTACGTCATTCCAAGATTCAAAGATAGCTGGAATGACTTGTGTTTCTGCTTCTTATGCTCATCAAGAACATGGACCATAGTGTTGAGATTGATTCAAAGTTTTTTTGTAGTAGACCAAACCATTTCCTTCTCATAATGACCTATCACCTGATAAAGTTTTTTGAAATAGCTGTATATGTATTATCATATTCCAAGTCTTACTTTTTGTTAGTTCCTTTTGGCTTTTTATTGGACAGTCCCTCCTGGGCACACAGTTCAAGATTGTACAACTTGTTAACCTGCTTTGCCCTCCACAGTGACAAACTCTAAAACATCCTTCACGACCAGAATCTACAGGTACCTAAAAAAGGAATATCCATTAAAAAAAAACAAAAAACAAAAACGAGAAATATGTACAACAATTTTTTTTTCGAAGTACTGTCGCAGTATTTATACTCTAGCAGTGTGTGTAAAGTATTCTATGGAAGCAAGACAGCAATACTTACTCTTGCGTATTCTCCCATCCTAACGAGGAAATTTGAAGCATCTCCAAGTGGACAGCCTGTCAGTTAATCATTAACATGCATATTCAGGGTTTTTTTATTATGAATTTTCTTTTTTTATTACAAACATTTGAATATTTGGAAAGTAATTTTTAACTATTAAGAGGAAATTTTTTTCAATGATGAGCGATAATGGCAAAAAGTGCCAAAAACTAGACTTTCATATGAGTTTTGATCCCAATTTTTGTTTTGGGTTAACACTCAAAACCTTTTTTAAACAGTTAGACACTGATACTATGATAAAATGCCTGTTTGAATCAGTATTTTCAATTGTACAAAGATGTTTCATTGCATTTGTGTTAGAAGGTTGCTTTGTCCGGCTTTTTTATAGAAAATATATGGGAAATAAGCAAATGAAGGCCTAAACCTCATTTTCGAATAAAAGTTTTGCTTTGGGTTAACACTTTGATTCGCCTTTCATCGGTCATCTCCACTTCCAAACAAGTTAAACTTTCTGAATAACAAGATTTTAGCCTTGTACAACAGCCTTTCTTCAAAAAAATAGTTTTTGGCGCTCACTGCTTGAATACAAAAAGAATTCTCTCTTAGTATTAACTCATATTGTACAATATTAAGATTGTACGTGTATAGGCATATTGATTACCTGGTACGCAATTGTGTGGTTCGCAGCCATCTAATGATGCGGCATAACAAGTTCTATTTATATCACACATCTTATTCTTTTCACATGGATTTGGGTTGCAGGGATGAGTAACTGGAAGACAAATACAAAGTTATTTTATTGAGTTTTTATGACATAGTTAATGCCAATTAATGCTTAGATTTATTTATGGTTGGAGTGTCTGCACTTAATCAATGAAATAGCACCAAATAGAAATGATAAATAACTTGAAAACAAAACATATCATTATTTCTTTATGAATTTACTAGTTTCCTGGATTATTGTGCGAACACTCTATGATGATGATGATAATAATATTTTTATATTCAGTTATTAGCCCAAGTATTTATGTACCTTCATCAGTGACATCTTTATATTTACTAGGCTCTGCAATGAATAACACATTAAAGTTAACTTTACAATACAAGGGATTTTTTATAGAGAAATTGGTATCATTTCAGAACAAATAATATGAGCACTGCACTGGTGGTATAGCAAGCCTGTCATTTTTTTCAACATTACTTAAATTATTTAAATTAACATTACAATGACAAATAACATTTTTGTAGTATCATTTGAACAAATAATTAGTCTTAATAATAGTAAAGTTTGTAGAGCATTGCAATGTTATAGCAAAGGTTATCAGTTCATATCCTGTTCTAAGCCTTTTTCCCCCAGGCATCCATCTGGATTTTCATGTAAGTTATTTAAGTTTTATTCAAGGCTTTATTGCATACTTTTGCAACAGTACATTTGTAACAATACTTACTCAGATAGCTATTAATGGAAATGCAGTTGGATTCATTGGGTGATAACTTATTACAAACTTCTTCAACTTTCTTTAAATTAGAGTAACTACTTGAATTACCACACTTTTGTAAAATCTCAATACAATCTGACCTAAAAGATATATGAACAAAATGAAAATCATTAAAAGAAAAATGGACACTAGTAAACTTGCTGCCCTGGTTTTTGGCCAATAAATGGGAAGCTTTGAGGATCAAGTACAGTGAAAGAACCAGCTAAACTGGAAAACCCAGAGTAAAACCCTTGAAGCACAGGAGAGACCCTTACTAGAAACTCTACTCATACAACACCAAGCCTAGTGGGCTCGAGCTTAGGTTGTATTGACAAGAGGCAAGCACTCTTACCACCATAGCTATGCCACTTGGTTTTCCCTGCAATAATATACAGTCAACTCAAAAAATGCTGTTGTCGACCAACTCAAGCCTACGTGACTGGACTGAAAGGAGCTCTGGGTAGCAATCATTGAAGCCAAGTCGACTCCATAATTTTATCTGACTAGTTATGCCTGGTTTACAGCACGATACTTCGTAGGCGAGCAGGAAATATTGAAGGAGACCTTTTTAATGCCTTCATATTTTCGGGATTGTAAACTGAATCATTACTACTTTGTTTTTCTTTCCCTAAACCCGGAGATATGCATTTGATGGATTGTTTCTCATCATTATTATCTTATTACTAGCGGGAACAACTAATTCAGAATGAATATTTAACCGCTTCAGTGATTTTTACCCATATTCCTCTCGGTTCAGTCACGGAGGCTTGAGCCGGTCGAGGACAACGTTTTTTGAATTGACTGTATGTGACTAGATTTACGAATTCTAATTAGCTACACATACTTGCAGATTGTACTTCTATGGGATTTTATACTACATGGTTTGATCTGTAGTAAACAAGCGATGGCCTGAAATTAAAGATGTGAGAAGATTATTATTACTTGAAATATTGTTTGTCTCAACTTAAAGTATTTAGAAACAATTTTACAAATCTTTTGATCCATGAACACAGATCTTCCTAGGTGTGCCATTTGTATTTGGGTATTGATATTTAAAATGTTGGTGCTAGCATGCACTAGAGTCCTGTACGAGAGTTCTATATCTTTCTGGAAGATTATTCAAGTAACCTTATTGGTTGTGTATCAATATTCATTATCTTTCATTTGCTGTGTTTGGTTAGCTGACATTGTTTTTCAGCAAAGGGAGAAAAACTTTGAGAAAATTTTGGAAGCACAGAACAACTATAAAGTGAGTGGAATCATTTGATGTAAGTTTCAGAAACAGGTGTTCAGAGATACAGTGTCCACTAAGTCATGTATGCAACAAAAATGATATGTCCAGAGTAGGCCCTTCTATAGCAGCCGATTGCTGATCAATCAAACCAATCAAGGATGACCATCATTAAAAGGCTGTTATGATGTATTATTAGCAAATCAAATTACCTTCCATGTATCAGGCAAACATTTTTTGATGTCCTGTACAAGAATGGGCATCCCAGGAACATTGATGATTCCTTTACTCCAATGTTGCATGTGACTCTTTGCATACGAGTCTGCCTTGGCATCACAACTACGGAACAGTTCTGTATGCCTGTTGTTGAAGTTGGTGCAGAAGTTCAGTCCAGTGCAGCCAAGCTGGCAAGGCTTTGTTACATCAGCTAAACAATTCATCAAGTTCACTTCTGATGGCTGGTAGGCACACTTCATGTCAAACTCAGGATAAGTTTGGGAGGCACTCCATCGAGATTTAAACATTTTTACACAAAGCCAAAAACAATTTGTTGAAGCAGCCTTTGGACAGCAATGTCGCTTAGCTCCATCCATTTCTGAGAACACAAATGAAGGAGGTTTTTTTAACTATTACAATAAAATAATGCCTCACAATCATATACCTTAAACATCTTTCAAGTTTTTTTATGAATCTTGGAGAAAGTTGGATTAAGTGTTTGGAAAAAAAACAAACGTTGAAAAAGCAAGCCACATTGTGGTAATATTTAAAGTGTTGAATGGAAACAATTACAGGTGTGAACTTACTGGGTGTACCTGTAAGTGGACTTATCGTCTCTTCACTAAAAGGTATTTCTGTTGGTCCTGGAAAACAAAAAATAAGTCATTTAATTTCTAACTTCATAACCATTATTGTTGAAGTTTGAAGTCTGTTCCGGAATAGCATTTTAACGACCATCAATCAAAGAAATGCAATTAAAAAAAACAATATCCTGAGGTAGATTTTACACTAAATCAAAGATTTTAGTACTCTGATCCTCTAAAATCTTTAATTCAGTCCAACATCTCCATTGAGTTCTCGTTTTTTTGGATTGTAACTCTTTTGATTGACAGTCGTTAAAATGCTAGTCAATTAATGAGACATCAAACATTGTAGGTAGTAAGTATGATGACTACAATCTAGTGGGTTGCAGTTGAAATTCTGGAATCCTTCTATGAATGGCCCTCAATCGTGAGACAAATGAATAAGTATCATTTATTACAATCATCATCATTGGCATCATCCTCTGTCATATATAATTGATTTATTTGACAGCTGAATGGTGTCCAAACTGATTAGATTTTACTCCACACTCTTTACTACATAACTTGCATCAGCATTCATTTTTACAATGATATGGGAAACTGGAGAAGCCAAAGAAAAACCCTTTTGTCAGCTAGCGTCCATAGGTAAGAAAACAAGGAACCTAAGGACCTCAAGACCCAGTTTGAAAGGAAAAGGCAGGAACTACTCACCCTCGACTTTCAAGAAACAGTTCCACATTGCATTATTCTCCTTTTTTCCCAAAGGACTGCCACATGCCTTAGTCAGATAATCCATGGCTTCTTGCAAATTTTTTATTAAATGTCCCTGCAAGAAAACAAAAAACATGTTTTTAGAATCATGATGGAAAATGAAAATGGCAGAGGCAAATGTCTACTAAATAAATTTTGAAAAGCGAAAAAGAATAATAAAGGAAATCTTTGCAGCAGAACGTTTAACAATATTATCTAAACTGGGAGCTTACAGTAGTAATTCTAAATAGAGTAATATCTCAATTTAGTTTAGGCACCCTCTCTATTAAACAGGCTGAAGCGAAAGTTTGGAAGAGTTGGCTGAGACAGTAAATAGGTACTTAATGTTTGCTACAGAAGTCAAGAAGAAGAAGAAGAAGATGATGATGAAGATGATGTTATACTTATGTGGATAACCTTGGCTAGGTTTACTGTATATGCCCATTTCAGTAGCTCAACGATATATGGATATTTTATACAATCACATGAAATAAACTATTTCACATGAGAAAGAATTAAATTTTGCAGTTTAGTAAAAGGGTTCAGTTGGTCTCCCAATTAGCATGGCTGCTGGCAGGTGATCATGGAAAACCTCTATTAAAAGAATGTATAATTTGTTTTTTAAATTAAACCTACCTTTTGGCAACTTTCTCTACATACAGGATCCTTTACAATTGAGCAGCATTTCAATTGCTTATAACCTAAAATTGTATTTCTTATATTAGTCAAATTACTAGTCATTTAATCCAAAATACCAATGTTCATATAATATCAGTAATGCATATTATGAAAAACCTTTTGTTTAATGAACCATCCTTTTTATTTGATAGGAAAAGGAAATAATGCTGGGTGTAATGTTTTCCCATTTCAGAACACGTGCCATTTTCTTGAGAATAAGATTATTTGCTTGCGTAGTATCCATATACCATTAAACAAAGAAATAATACTCTATGGATTGACACGGTATGAAATGGGCAACAGGGCCTATTCCACCACCCTGGCATATCAAACATATAATATGTACTTTCTTATAGCTGACATTCATAAAAGCTAAAAATGAACCACGCCCTTTTTCTAATGTTTGAAGTAGGGTTTGAATTTACATGGAAAACCGGTCCCGATTTTTGAATTCAGTCCTGCAGACAGCATTGATGTTAACAGGGGAGAGCGGGGCTGAATTCAAAACCCGGGACAGGTTTTCCATCCAATTTCAAACTCTACATCAAACATTAGAAATAGGGCTTGGTTGGTTATTAAACCAGTTAAAATGCATGTGCTTGGGTTTGCATTAAAATTCAAGACCTCTGGTCTGTGGCCCTTGGTCTTTAATTGCAATGCAAACCCTCAACCTAGCATTTTAAGCCTTATTTAAAAATTGCTTTTAAACAACTGATCAAAGCTGCACATACCATCAGGGTTCTTTGTGGTGGATTCTGAAACAGAAAAAAATTACCTTTAATTTTAATTACTGTCCAGAACTTTTCTGCATGCTGAAAATGTCACTCGCGCATTCTAGTTTTCAATACCAAAACCCTAAATATCATGGTTAAACGTTTCAAATTACAGCATGGCATGCAAAAGAATGACCGGCGATAATATATTTGCATACTTATATGCACAGTCTTTATTACAGCAAAGCCCATAGCATGGATGTATACAAACATATTAAATGTGCTCATACTTCTTCATGAAACAAACAAACTATGACAATGTAAAAATCCTCTACATACCATGTTTTTTAGCACATTCAAAAACATGACGTCCTCCCATCTTGCAATTTTTTTTAACTCTATGTAGTAAATTATTTTTACTAGCTGGTTGTGATGCCAAAAGCTGTAGAAAGAAAAACACAATAAATTATAGTACACCACTTATTGTTCAAAGATTAAAGATAGCGATGTATAGTCTGAGGGGTGTGGGTACTGGGGTTAAAGTCCCTGTTACAGTAAATCACTCCATCAAAGCCAGTGAAAGAACCATATAGTTTGTTATGGCCGTAGCCACCAGTATGATTGGTCCAGTTTTAACCGCACCTGGACTCTACCTTCAGAACCATCTTTTCCCCTTTATAATTTATTACAAAAGTAAATAAAAAAACAGGACCACCTTTTTTATAAACAGAACCATCGTCCAAGTGGTGGCTATGGCTTTGCACATGGTTTTTTGTTTTTTTTGGTTTTTTGGTTATCCCAAAGAACAATTTCTCTTACCAATTTGCAAGCTTTGATACAGCTTTTTGAAGCTCCTTGGCAACAATTTGCTGTAGCTGAAAAACAAAGCATTAACATAGATCAGACCCTTATCTAGATAGATAGGCTTGCATGGATACATACATTGCTACACTATAGCACTGGAGTTTTATTTCTGTAACAAGATCATGCATAACAGACATGTGCAAGCTAGAGCACGGTGCACTATGTGCCTGCAGAATTTTTTTAGAAATATATAATATTGCTTAATGCAGCTTTACTTTTCTATATAGTGTCTTAAGTATTTTAAATTTTACATTGCATAGTTTTTACATGTAACTGTTAATATTAGTATAGTATATAAGTATACATAAAAATCAACGTAATTTACCATCATGTCTTGTCACACAAGATATTAAATGTATCTGCAAGGAAAATTCAATCAAAATTGATAACAGAGAAAAGTAACATCACAACGTGGGGGATTAGTCCCAAAAGGCTATTGTAATCTAAACTGACATTTTTTGGCATGGTGGCATGCGCTGTCTCTCGCTGCTGCGTAGTTCATACATAGGGTAACCATTGCTTGTGAGGTGAGTTGAGTTTGTAGGATGCGTGAAACACGAGGGTTTTTCTCTAGGTTTTTCGCTATCCATAAAAATTAAAGTGAGATGAGTGTTGTGTGTAGTAATTAATGAATGTCAGCGCATATGGAGCAAACCTTACAAAGAGAGCCCCTTTTAGGGAGTAATGGCTGTAAAATTAAACTTATTTTCTAAAGTTTTAGTATAGTCAGCAATATTTTGTTCCCTATGCAATTTTGATTCTTAATTAAATTTTTTAATTATTTGAAGGTCTAATATAGCATTTCTCATGCTATTTTTATCCTAAAATTTCACTTACATCTGAGCAGCTAGTATTCAAAGCTTGTTTGTTTCCATTTAAACAGTCTCTACGGCATTTTGACGTTGATGTCATCAGGCAACACACACCAGCCTTGTTTGGTAACTTTGATTCTAGATATTGTCTAGTTCCTGAAATAATAACAAGTAACATGGATCATTAATAATGAAAAATGATAACAAAAATGAAAAATGCAAACAAAGGGTTTTATCAGTCATTAGAATGTCTGGTTTAAAATACCAACACATATTGAAAATTGTTAAAAAATCTATGTGAAAAGTGGTACAGGAAATCGAATCTGGCCTTTTATTTGTGATAGACAAGTTGCAAATATAAAAATTTGTAAATTTACCATAAGTTTGTAACCAAAATTTAATAACTCTGATTTAATAGTCATTATTATTCATTATCGCTGCGCTCACTCGTGAGATATCAATTGAACACTCGAAGATAAAATTTGTATCTCCGCGCACCCATGTAATATCCTCTATTGATTTTTGTCAAAATCCATCCAAAAGTAAGTACTCAGTGACTAAACTTAAATACAGATATACATTAAATATTAAACAGATGAAATATTTTATATCGTCTCTGTAAATAAAGGGTGAAACTTTCCAATTCTTTTGGTTTTTAAAGATTAATTTTTGGTGAGATTAAAGTTTATTTTCAAAAGTGATTTCTATTTTTCCTTTTATTGGGATAGAAAATGTGTCAAACAAATTAAATAAAACAAAAATATGCTAAACATGATAAGATATTAGCCAGGCCAAACAGTAAATGAAAACTAAAGGAAGAAGAAGAAATGAAAAGATCTTATGAACAAAAAAAAGAAAAGGAACAAAATAAAATAATAGAAAGAAAATATAGTACCCTAATACAAAAAAGTACAGCAGCTGTTTTAATTTGATCTTATAAATATTTCATAGTTTTATATTGCTTGCATGAGACTATACATAATTGTTATGAACAATGTTTAAATTCTTAGAAAATAAACACTTGTTAAAGCACCATGTACAATATTAGAAAAATTTTATAGTAAAAAGAGGCTATATAATTTTAAAATTTTGTCTCTAGAGAATTTTTTTTTTTTTGGAATAAAACGATAAAAGAAAGATAAGTATTGCTTTGTACTTCCTATAATATAATTACCTATAACTATTGCATAAACTTACTCACATCGATAACACCAATGTAACAACATAAATTCAATAATTTAAAAATAAAAAGACGTGGCAAATGGAAGCCAAGGACTTTTTTTACAACCAAATTAAGATAAGACTACATAGATAATAAGCTACGTTAAAAAAATATACTTAGAATCTACACAGTCTATGCATGAAGATAAAGACATAACTATATGGTCTATTTAAGATTAAAAAGAAATTGCAGACAAAACAATGGTTTTATATATTTCAAGACAAAATATAGAACCTAAATCAGAAAAAAGCCTATTAGCTTCAATATAACTTATTCATATTTTTTTCGTGTTTATATATTAAACTTAACATTAAAGTAAAAGCAAATACTGGGAAACAATATTGATGTGTAAAAGAGAATACAATTCTAGGTCAAAATATTATTGATGCAACAGATAATAAAATTAAAAAGATGCTAATATATACATAGATAAAAGATTCTATTTGATCCCACGAGTATTAAAAGCATTATATATACGCACGTTTTCATAAATAATTGCTATTCCTGACAGTGGGGGGATTGATATACGAAACTTTCTCATAAGTAGACATATATAATATAAATGGACCTCATAAACGAATATCATACATAAGAGTATTAAAAGTATAATTCAAGTGAATATTTATATATAATACATTGTATTAAAAGCAAACAGATATAACACTAATAGTAATATTATATTCATAGATATAATATTTTCTCTTAATATTAGTATATTAAAACTATGAATTTTTTTTTTGGATAATATATAAAAGCAATTGCAATCTAAAACCATATTAAATTAAACCATATTAATAAACAGTTTTTAGTCCATTAAGACTCGTTTTAAAAAGCCTTAAATGACATTTTTAAATGAATAATCCATTTGGAAGGACTCACTATGTTAATAAAGTGAAAGAAGTCAATAAAAAAATACTGTCTCAACATCTGGCAAAAAATTAGATAAGATTACAAACTGCACATAGTAGCCAATGTATAAAGAGCATAGTTGAAGTTCCGTTGGAGTAGTATCGTTAAAACTATCTGCAAAAAATTATTGTATATATGCTTACTTTTTATATTTTAGCAATAATAATGATAATGATAATAATAGTAATAATAATAATAATAATGAATGTTATGTTTATTATAATAAAATACTGTAAGGATAATCGACATAAACATAAAAAATAAAATTTACAAATATAAGATGTTCAACTAAAACAAATTGAATCATTTATAAAATAATTAAGAATGAATTTGGTTGCTGTAAAAAAACTAACATCACATATCAATATTATGCAGAATATGCTTGAAAACATCACACAGGATTTAACTTGGCCATTAAATATTGTGCTGATAGAAAATAAAATATGAAAAGTGAAAAAATGAGGAAAAAAAGGTTTGAAGGAAGCTCAAGTTAAAATTTATATCAAGAGCATAAAGAAAATTTGATAAAAAGATAAATATCCAGGAAAATGAAGTCAAGGAAATAACACTGTTGTTTGTCTTGTTACATTATCAGAAACTAATATTTAGAAAGAGATTAAAGAATAAATGTCCAGTTGCTATGAATTTCCAAAAAAAAAATTTCAAACAAAATTATAAAGAATGGCTATCAATTACATCAAATTTTAAAAATTCTAAAAGTTGCAATTAAAATTTTTTTGCTTTGTAAAATAAGGTTGATGAAAAATCTGTTTAGATTGCTTGCATATAATTATTGAAGTATTAATTTCAACTGTCTAATTCAACTGTCTAATTCATCTCTTGCTCATATCTTTTCTAGATGAATTCTTTCAATCCCAGAACAAATAATAGAGTAATTCCTAATGCCATACTACGAGACATTTCATGTACACAAGCTATTATGAGGCTCATCATCAAGAATATATAAATTATTCACTCAATTGGTGCAAAGCCTCTTATTTATAAAATAAAACAAATTAGTATATCTTATGTAAAGCACGTCTATTCAGATTTTAAAAATATTGACTTGCAATAAAAATAGTAAATTATGCTCAAATGAAGTTTTTGATAAACTGTCTTAATTTATCTCATTTTCGTCCAAAATTTGCAAGTTCAACTGGGTGACACTGTGCCCTTGGTCACCAAGGGTTCTGTTTTATTTCCATTAACTCACGGGAAACCTATCTTATGCCCTGTAATAAAACCCTCCAGAATGTTCCATATCTTTACGCCGAGGAACTTCATTTGAAGGCAAGTCTCCTTTGACCATGTCCAGACCTACTAGAGACATTTACATTTTATCAAATTTATGGAATATCTGATTGCAGTTTGGAATTTAACTTAGAGTGGGATTAAATATTGTACATGACAATGCCAACTTTGAGAATGACCTTTCAAGTCTGCAAGGTTATGAAAAATATGGGCAATTCTATTTTAGAACGATAAAAGAGATTGTACTAAGTTATGAGTTTGAAGTAAACTGCACTTTTGTCAAAAAAGATTGCTAAAATGCCCTGTAGTCTAGAACCTTCTAAGATACTATGAATATTCCATTAAGGGATTTTTTTTATATTCCGGAGCACTTTGCTTAAAGTACACCGATATTGACAATATTTAATAAACCATCTTTGAATTTATCATTTCGAACAAACATTAGTGAGAGATATGACGCTTTTGACTGAAATTGTTTTGCGGTCTTTGCGGGTTTTTACCTTATGGATTTTTTTAATTGTGGACGACGAAATTCAAAGAGAGATCGTCTGGTCGAAAAGGGCTTCAAGATATGAAAGATAGTTCAGGAAAATTTTTGGCACAGGAATAGTGGACCTCTCAACAACTAACTATCAGATAGCGATGTTGAAGCAAAGTCTGGCCACGTTCGTGCGTCATGAACCAGAGGCACTTCAAAAAGCCTAGTCTCCTCCCAATTGAATAATGGTTTTTACATCAAACAAAAGGCAGTAGCCAGAGCTCGGTGGGAGGTTCGATTTGTGTAAATACATCGCTAAAACCAAAAACCATTTAAAGGGTGGAAAAACTCAGGGAGGGAAGAAAAGAGGTACAGGACTCTAGTAGGATTGGAAAAAATGTATTCCGAAAAACGTTTTTACATTGTAATGTTATTCAATGAATTTCCTTTATCAAAATGTTTTATTCATTCACGCCTGTGGCATAAATAGGTTTATCCACGTATTTAGCATGATCACAAAGCATACTAAACCCCCAAAAACACATCACACATTTCTGGCAAATTGGAAGTGACGGGTGAACAAAACAACTTCGAAAAGACCTCTCGCTCTCCATTGTCGGGCTCCGGAACACTTTGTCTCTTTTACAACTAACCTACAATCTCGACCTCATTGGATTTCCTAGATTCCTAGGGTCGTAATTCTCAGAGGAAACATGAAAAACAATAGTTGATAGTGAAACAATACGTTCCCCAATTAAATTTCCATTAGTCCAACTTTGGATGCAAATTGATGTTCGCTTAAAAGGTTGCCATTAGCAGCTAGCCCAAGATAAGAGTCAGTACGTCTGCTAGTGCTAAGCGCAAAACACGACACGTGTGATTACCAATTATTTACTTAAAATCACTTCGAACGATTTTAAAGAGAGAAATAAACTCCAACCGCAATCGTCCAGACTCGGCCAAAGGAGAGAAAAACACACGCGGCTAACGTTGATTCAAGTCGCATGGAAAACCATTGAAGCGTTTATAGACTTTGAATATTTCGGCGACCTTTAGGCTTCCCTAATCCTTCATCCCACTCTATTTTCACTCCTTAAGCTGGATAAATCGATCCAAATACTATCTGCTTAAGTTAATTTAACTTCAAGTCGAGCAGAATTAAACATTGTTCGAGTTTAGCTTCATGGCCTTGTAGTTTTTTAGGCGCTAATTGGGCTATAATCAAAAGGTAGGCCTTTATTTGCAGAAGTTATTAGTTGAAATTGGAATGACAATGCTCGACATTGAGATACAAAACATCGTGGCGACTCACCTGGATTCGTTTCGTTCAAGCAGCGCCAAAGCTTCGTCTGAAATATGAACAAGCAAACATGAACCTAAAGTATGCCGCGGTATTCCCTGCCGTATCTATAATCAACTTGGGCACAGCGCTACCTAGCAGTCTCTCGCTCCAAAGCAGTCGATAAGCCCTACACGCAAATCTAACAACTTTCATGCACCCCACCATCACTAATTCAAAACAATCTCCGACTTACCAAATGCCCAGGACAGAACTTTGGAAGCTCTTTTAACGCACGAAGACGTAAATTTACTTCGGTCTGCGAGACAAACTGCCAAACATAAAAGAAAACAGATTAGCTCAAGCCGAAGTTTTGGACTCCAGCCGATATCAATTTGAAGTAAATTATAATAAACTTGTATATGTGTGAAATCCATTGAGTCGACATGATGAGCGTATTTCGGAATCGCTAACATCCTGATCGCTTTCAAATCAATCTAAGTCGAATGATCACTTGTCCCACTTCCAAGTCACGTTAAACAGCGAGAGGTCTTTGACTATTCTCATTTGCAGTGCCCCGCCGTGCATCAATAAAAGACTGAACCAAAGCGACGTTGACTCGTACCTTGTTACAAGCACTTTTACATTGCTTAAAACCAGAAGTTTGTTTACAGCAGAGGATATCTGAAACAATTGTAATCAAATAAATGAGTATTATAACAAATAGGGAGAAAAGTGGGGCAGTGAGGAAGGTCTACGTTGAAGAGGGGAAGGAAAATTCGGAGCCGCGAGAGTAAACTTGCGAAGGTAAATCCACCGGAAATTTACATTCACAATTGAATGCAAAAGGATTCGTTCGCGTGGTTGAACTAATTATTTCTTCTGTTAAATCTACAAATCGTTATTAATCCTAACAACGTAAAACCAACACAGTGACCAAGTTTAGGAGTCTCGCGGCCGACTTTGAGGCTCGCTCCTAAACTTGATCGCTGAGGAATATTACAAACCTACAACTAAAGTAGGCCACAAGTTAACAAGATCGAAGCAGCGTGTTCAAACGTGTTCAATTCAGAAGGATTCTTACCTGATTGATTCGAAAGTACGGCTTGTACTAGCAAAAGCGTGCTGAACAGCACTCGCATGGTGGCGTTGGCTAAGAAGGAACAACATCAGCTCCGCTAAAAAGCCTGCAATATAACCATCATGTACCGTGCATGGCTAGTATTATGTCGATGTCAAGACTCTCTTCTACAGTCTCAGGTCCTGAGCAACCAATAGCAGCAAACAACCAATTAGCGGGAAATTGTTCTTCCACACATCAGCCAATCACAATCGGCTATTTAACACGACGGGTGACGCTTTAGTAATGTAAAGAAAGCCAGTAGTTTGTTTTGTGTAGTGTACCGTAATGGACAACATGAACGTGTTATGACAGCTAAGATTGTCCAAAAAACTGACCTAGGTTATACTAGCTATCTCGCCGTCGAAAATAACCAAGAAATTCTAACCATTTTTCGCATAACGGACCTTAGGTTCTTTCGCCACGGACGTGATCTCTCGCTTCTATTAAATACGTTTTCCCAAACTCTCAAATGTCGGGCTTGGACGGAGCTTAGAATTTACGTTCGATAACTTTTGTTTGTTTTTCTCTATGTTCACACGTCTGGTATAATTAATAGTGTAAGTTTGAGGATACCATTTGATTTTTTTTCATTGATTTTTTAAATATTTGTTTTATAACCAAAATTTTTTATTTGCGTCCTTCTAAAGTTCTTCTAAGTCTGTACATTTGTACGATTATTCGTACTTGTGTAATAGGCTTTTATTTATTTTTCCTTTTTCCCACATTTTTCATGAATTTTTATCCTCCAAGGTATCGCGTGAAATCCTTCCTTCTAAATGATTAAATAGTTTTCCTTTCTGTGGTCAAACAGATAGTCCAAACACCCTCTCGGCTCGCATCCCAGACATGGCAATTGCAACTTTTAATAATTTTCTTATTCTCCCCCTGTCAAACTACGAGCAAACATTTCTTTTAAACTGACAGTACAAATGTACCAAATGGGTAAAGTTTGCCTTTGTAATTACACTTTGACACTTCATCGCGGATTTTAGTCACATATTTGGTGTGCAGACTTCCGATTGTTAGCTCGTGTTAGCTACAGTCACCACGTTTTAATCGTACAAGCTATGACAAAATACAGTAGTGGACATCGCCAGATGATCCTGGATTGATGGTGACTGATGAGCCTCGTAGATAAGTTTGAAAACGCAAACACTGCCGATAAAAACTCACGATAAGAACTAGTGATGCATATCTGGATTCTCGGGGGCTTTTAGTGACTTCCCACAAATTTACATACAATTTCAAGGGCGCGCTTTGACCCTGGACGAAAACTGTTTTCACTAAATCTCTTCTAAATCGGTTCTCCGAGCTCTGTTTTTTAGATTAAGACAATTAGGATTAACCTTCATCCCTGGAACCTGTCCATTACGTATCCTCGTTATTATGTTTAAACGATTTTGTTTGCTTATGCCGGTGTATATTTTAATAATAACTATTATTATTACTCTCAGGTTTTATCCAAATAAGCTTTTATCCAGTTATCGATGCTTGAGGCGAACCAAGCTAAATGGAGCCGAAAATAAACGGACATAGGTTTAGAGATAGGACTAGTAAGTTTATTATAATCAATGTTTTTGCTTTCTTGTTCCTCTTAAGACCATCAATGACGCATGAAGCACTTCCATTAGGTGGGGGAAAAATCCAAGCTCTATGACGACCAGAATCCATTTTGGAGCCTGATTAAATCAAGATCCTTGAAAGCTTTGCTCACTCTCACACACCAGCTGTTTGTTTTTCGCCTCATAAAATAAATTGCTAATGATTTATCTTGTTTTGGTCGGGAACAGAGAAGGAACAACGAATCCTGCTTTCAAAAGAAAAGAATAAAAACTTTACTAATGGTTATTTATCCCTCAATTAGAAATTGTTTACCCAAGTAATAAGACAGCCACGCGAAGACGATTCTTTTGGGCGGGTTGAATGCCTTTCAATTTTTTTATCAGTGAGCGAGGGGTTTTCTTGGTCAATGCAAATTAAACAAACTATTCCTATTACTCTCCGAAGTATAACAGAAAAAGCTTTTTTGACATTTATAATTTTAAGACTGAAACGACAAACCCCAGTCAAACAATGAGTTTCACCAGGTTTCAAATTCGCTTTTCCCCCATTTTCTTTGAAAATGAGTTGTGAAATTTATGTATTATATTTTACTATAATGTTTATTAACTTGTTTCCCAAAACAATAAACTAGCTAATTTTTCTTCTACCTTAGAAACACCTCGAACGCCACAAGGTTTTTTCCCATTTTTATTCTCTGAAGTTCGATTTCCTTTTACGTTCGCGTTTCCCCAATTAAAAATATACAAGAACACCAATATTGGAACTAACTCATTACGAAACTGCCAGCACTAACATTAACTAGACAGTTTTTTTCTTTGGAGATATGTGCTATAAAAGAAAATCCAAAACAACACTGCTTGAACATGCCCCCAGGGTCTTTGCAAGTGTAGATGATATTAGAGCAGAACGAATATTGACAAAACAAATCAGACAGAACTCCAAGTTCCGCATATCCTTTCAGTATACTGCGTTTTTCATGGTTTCAAAATACATTTATGGTATTTCTGTATTCATCTCTCCGGCTTTTTTTTTTTCTAGTTTTTTTCTAAAAGTACTTATTATCGCTGCTTCTATTTTCTATAAAAAGAGTATACTGAAAACAACTTTGGTTTTTCTATAAACTTTCTTGCCATTAATTATAATCAATGTTCATACTCTGCTATTTCTGATATTTTTGAGAAAATATTTCATTCACTTTATTTATGTAGTTTAACTTTCCATTTCATTTTGTTCTATTAAAAAATAGAACAATGTTTTATTCAAACTTTGGCTTTTATCTTATTTCTGTCTATGTGACTATGACAAAGTAATCCATTCTCGACATAAAAGGGATTGCAGTTTTTTATCTAAGTGTTTTTCGTGTCTGCTTGAAGCTGATTGTGATATATAATTTAGATTCAAAGCTATTAATCAATATTGAATCAAGTAACTCAATTCCCTTAAGTGTTTTTAAGGGCACTTATTCAAACCTATTTCAAGAGGCTCTTACAGCATGCCCCGAAAGCTTATACACCCTGCGCCAGAAGTCTTGAGATAAAAAATACATTTTCCGCAAAATTAAATCTATGGTCCTCACGACTGTATCACATGTTCGCCTCTAGATTGCACCATCAAATGTTTTGTTTCTACCATTTATCCAATTTATAATGTTTATTCCTTGCTTATCAGGTGATAAATTACCTTGGATGAAGAAGAATGTGAACCTTTGGGAAAGCGTCGAGGTCCAGTTTACTTGACATCCAGCACTTGTAGTGCCCGCCCACTTTTACTTTAGACCACGACTACCGGCTGGCTGCAAAAAGATCACGGACAAGTCATGTTTACACTGAACAGCGAAAACACTGGCTCCAAACCAAACAAACAGACAAGTGGTTCCATTTGTCAACCGCATTTATTTTTGACGGCAACCCCAATCTTTTATAAATTGAAACATCTTTCGATTAGGGATTTTTTCCCCCTGAGTTTGCACAGCGCATTATCTTGTCTACTTTAGTGATCACCCCAGATTTCATCCCCTCGCTTTTTCAAGTGTTTTGTTATCGTTGCGGCATCTTTGAAGTCCACGACAAAGCAACATTTTAAAGAAAACGTTGGGCTAGAAGACCTCGGGTTGACCCCTTTACTATAAAACGGAAATGCTTTGCCGGTTGACCCATATCCTGATCTCATCACTCACGTCAGGAGTCACATGACACGCTAGCAAACCCCGCCTCCTCCCTGCTAGGGAGGCACTGTTATACTTAGTAGGAGATTGAGTCCAGCCAAAAAAATTAAAAATTCAAAAAATCAGTGCCTCTTTGTTTTCAGTAGAAAAATTGGTCTAGAATTGATTGACGGGGAGCGGATTAGGGATTTAATCGTGCTGATATGAAGATATATATGTTTTAGCTTGTTTGGAAAGTTGCCACAGGGAACCCAGACTACTGTTGTCAGATGGTAGTGCTAATGATCATGATGATAATGCTGATAATTGATCATAGCTTATAATGATAATGATAAAATAAATGATTATGAGTTTATGATGGGAGATAATGCATTATGATGATGATGAGAATTCCTCACGATCAGCAATATTAAACATAGCTTCCATGTTTTTGTCGATAAGGTTACGAGTTGATGATGATGATGACGATGATGCGATCATAATATTATTATCATCACCATAATCATCATTTTCATCATTTTCATTATCAGTATTACAATCATTATCCTAGTAAGCTATTAAGATATTATTATACTACGTTGATGAAGATTTAAAGTTGCATTAATGTTGTATCTGGTGTCATTGAAATGATCATGATGATTATCATATAGGCATTAATGAGAAGTGTTGCCGATATCCAAGGCCATTCCTAGGTTACAAGAAAATGAGATAGATGACGTGAAACGAATCTTCCTCATTATATGACAATTGATTGATGATGATGTCTAGATCTAGCAGCGTGGGATCATCTTGGACCAAATAGTTTAAAAAATCCCCCATGCAGCAAAAAATGACAATATTCTACTGCGACTCATATATGTCATATATCATCCTTTACCAATATTTACAGCGAAATGCCAAATCAATTCGGTTAATTTTCGAGATCGTCTTATATTGAATACGAATACTAATCAGCTGTCCTGCTGGTGTTATATTTCTGTCCTATCAGTTGTCTTTATAGACACACTGCGGAGTATTATGTCCCCCGATATTAATTTTCTGGTTCTGTTTGGTTCATATACTTTCAGCCATATGAACAAACAATCTCTATCACATTTTATTATATTTTTTGATTCATATCTCATATTTTGTTCACTGAGTAAATGTTATTTTTTCAGCCTTTTTCTCGCATGAGGTCACCCACATGAGCAAATATTGTAATATTTCGTATCTATTTATTTTTCAGATTTTAGATTTTCCTTGGTATCCAAGTGTTTTGATTAGCTTTATAAAATATTCGAGATATAATGCGCGGGCTGATTGGCTGGCTACCGTGTTTATATCAGAGGACAGAGACACGCTCGCGCAAAATCATTCAAAAATATTTTATAAAAGCAATATAAAACGTCCGCTTGTGTCTATATACTGCGATATAAACACTCTGGGAGCTGTAGAGCACTCGAGAAGTCTATTCTTTTGTCTTGCATGATACTAGCTAGTTTTGAAACAAAACTGATAGCTAAATAATATCACTGATGTCAATACTACAAGACACCATTTTCACCCTTAACCCGAAACAAACTTAATAGAAATTCAGTATAAAAGAGGATATAAAAAATGGCTAGATTTCGATTTTTCCCTCTAGACTGGCTTAAGTTTAAATCCCTTTGTACAAATAAGATATATTTAAGACAGAATAATCGTACGAATTATACTTTATCCTATTATATCTGAGAGCTTTTCTTCTCTGTTTCCTGGTTCTCATAATTCTCATTTTTAGCTCATTTAGTACGATTTTCAGGCCCCATGCAAAGCTACACAGTACTTTCTATAATGGTTTTCAAGACGTATATGTTTACACCGGATTTTGACAAATTTGATGTTCCAACCAGCACAGACAATGCCTCAATAAAACGAGTCGTATCGTTTACCGATTCCCTGTGCACGAACAGAAGCCTCGCCACGAGGATTAAATTATTAAGAGGTTTTTAATGGTAGAATGGTTGCGTGCATGAATCGGTCCTAATCAAACCTAGTGTCTAGTAGTGACTTACGTCAGACATTGCAAAAGAAATTAAAAAATCGCCATCAGGATGCGTGTTTTTTCCCCTTCTTGAAAAGAAATTGAAAAGAAATCCTTTAGCCTAGGTTTTACATAATACTTTCATCAAAATGCGATTTGATGCCCACTTATGGCTGAACTTTAGGTCAAGTCGTTGGAGTATCGCATTAGTAATACCAGCTTGGTGATCCTTGCAGGTTCGAGAGCTAATTATCCCTGGCATGTTTTACTGACCACTTGATAGCCAGTTACGCCTTTTGAGCGCGTTCTGTTAGCATATTAATCGTGTTTTTTTTTTTAAGAATCTGAGGAATTTCCTAGAGAAATTGCACTAGATATTTTAAGGACGTTAAGAAATGAAAGGTAAGCGCGGGTGGTGTTGACCGCCTCTCAACCGCGCTGTGGCTGTCCGGGTTGGATCCTTCGACTCCCCATCATGTGCCCATTGGCTGTCTACTTTGCTTTTGCTTCTATCTTAATCTATTAAAAACCAACTTCTTAATTTCAAATCGATCTTTTAGGCTTCCATCCGTACGTAATAGAACGGAGCTATGCATATCTTGATACAACGAAAGTAACTTGAAAAAGAAAACGAAGTGAAACGAATAGGCTATGATTGTCTTATTGGATTAGATTTCCAGGTTTTGAGAGATTTAATCGATGGAGAGGATAATAAGTAAAGCAAAGAGCATTATAGTCAACGACTTCAATTAATCTTCCAAGGCCTTCCTCTAGATTAAGTGACTGTGATACCTTAAAACTTATTGGCTGATAGGATTAAGTAGCAGAGACGAACTTGAACCTTTAGCAGGCTTTTCTTGCTTGTACTCAAAAAGATACTAAAAATTATCACAGAAAAAAAGTATCACAGAAAAAAAAAAAAAAAAAAACCATGAAGATTGATGATTTCATAAGGAACTCAAAAAAATCTTGTTAGAGTATCCGGAGGGTCGTGCGGTCGATTTTTTTTCGGACAAAGATTTTTTTTCTGAGTTCCCTTTAAAAATTCTATCACTTTTCTATATATCTAAATAAAATTTAAAACGTTCCAATGTATAGTGTTCAAAACATAGAAACTGTTGTGCGGAGATAACCCGACGTTTAAGGCCTATGATTGGATGACGCAGTTATGACGTGTAAGCCGGTCCATAATCCTGTGGCTTGTCTCATATAAACAATAGCGATCGTTGTACGATGTACGACCGTTAGTTCCGGGTGGAGAACTCTTCATGAAACATGTTGTCGGACTTAAGACGGCAAGATTCTAGTTGGGGTTTCCTAAGGGCATGTACCCCCGGAAATTGTGTTTGCGTTCTTACCATCATACCATCATCCACATCACAGTCTTAAGCCATTCCTTGTAAGAGGAATGGACAAGCGCCTATTGAACCTCCTTTAATCGTCTATGAGTTATTAAGTGATATTAAATGATAGCCGGTTCTCTTTGAATAGTTCCATAGAATTTACTATAACTGGGTTCGTTTAAGTATACGTTTAGTCATTTCAATATTGGTGGAAGTACTTAGGTAGTATACTTGACTGTTGTGAGCGCACAAACAGTAAAGCAATACTGAATCAGCAGTTGACTGGAGAAATGTTTTCTGTTATATGATCTAACAGGAAAACAAAACAGTATCACAAACAGCTTTAAAGGAAAAAGCCAAATAAAGCTAGTCAACCGTCTCTTTCAACCGTCTACTTTCGCATTTTCTCAAGGCACTTTGGTGGAAAATGTCTCGAGCGTTTCGAGCCTTAGGTATCATATTTAAATAAGAAATGTTTTGCATGTTATAAAGAATATTCTATGAGATCAGTAAAGCAACATATTAACACGTGTCATTCCCTTGAGTATTGCAGTAGTTCTTGCGTTTTCTAGTGATGCTCGATTTAAAAAATCGTGCAAATACGCACACCTCCCTGATTGGATTGATCTTTTTTAAAACCTTAGTAGAAGGAAAATGTTTAATGAGCGACGTTTCGGAGTGGTCATGACACCAATACAAGCTAGAGAACGAAAGAAAACAAAGCCTAGAAAACAGCTTGGCCCTAAAAGTGAATCTGATTGAACATCGAGGGAAGGTATTTACAGAGATCTTAAATGGGAAATATCCACTTGAAATAAAATGATTTATTGGTTTGTGCTACACTCCATTCTTAAGTAAGAGGACCCCTCAGCAGGGTGGAGGTCGAGCCGACCGCACAGAGAAATCCGGTCACAGAAATGGTGTGCCCTCTCAGCGTTATCGAATCATCAAGCCCTATACACGTACCAGCGGCGAGTTGGTCAAATTAATTGTGCGGTTTGGTAACTGTGTACTTTTCTTCTCATCTGTGATAACCCCCTGACGTCGGTACAAGTCAAATATGTTTTCTTTGAGATCAATTCGAGTTATCGTCAAATCCTTGGGCGGAACTCTTTTATTTTTGTACTGTCTGGTGTTGGCTCGCGCAATTGAGTTTGATTGCTGGGAATTTAATGGTTATCGCACAATTACGCAGCGCACTGATTCTAAAAATAGCTTAAAGATTCGGACAAACATTGCATTCTGTTTAACCGCTACGAGGATTATACGAACCGATTTTATTTTTTTTTACTTAAAGTTACAATAATAACCCATGTAAACTAAGATCAACTGCGATCGGCTGTGAAAATCATCTGCTGAAAGTAAACTTGTAAGTTTGTTTGTCCGAATTTCGCCTTTGTCTTCGTTTTTATGACGTCACGGCTGCGCTGCGCTATTAGGAATTCCGGATATCTCTTGATTCGAATACGAACTGGCCTGCGCTAGGTTCGCAAAACAAACACCGAGTCACCAGAAATCACATCATAGATCTCATTTACAAATAACAATTGCATAGTTCAAAATAGATGCACCGTTAACACATAATTCTAGCTATTTACATAAGCTCGATAAGAGAAAACATCAAGCATGAAGGAATTAGAGAACTGACCTCTATACAGGTCTATACTGTTCTCAGTAAGCAAACGTCGTGCATTCTGGTCTAGCAAATACTCAAAAGGGAAACTAAGAAGCTCTCGCCGATTGGCCTTCACCATAAACCAATCAGAACATTTTGTAAATCACGTCATCCAATAACAGTACTAAATCGCATAAAAGCCTGATGAGTGATAGCATATATCCCATGGCCAAACTGCATTATGGCTAATAACATATGCAAAGTAAGCGTATATTTGTACAGAATCTACATACAGGTGAAAACTTTGTAAACCATTCAAACTTCCGCTGCACGATGATGCAAACGAGACTTAAATAATGCATGACAACCACGAACAACGTACAATCAATTTTCTTTTCTTTGCCTTGAAATACTGCAGCCTCGTATTGTTGGTATTGCGGTTAAAAATTAGGGTAATACAATACAACTGATAATACAAGACCAACCGTATATAGCTCCCAGATTGTTTGGAAGCTGAAACTAAGACGTGCGCTAGTGTGAAAAAAAACCTGCTTCCCGCATTCTTGCTATTTATCATGCATGGTTAATGTCCAGTTCAAACCAATTTCATCTTTTTTGGAGTGGACCATAATTCGTCGAATTTAACAATTGCTTCACGCATCGAATTAATGAAAATAGTTACTTTATTTTCTC